TGTTTTCTATGCCACTTCTGGAGCAACAAACGTCGCACGTCACCCTTGAGCACGTTTCACCTTGGGCATTAAGAAGCCTCCTTAATTTCGCATATACAGGCCGTCTTGAACTGTCACTTACCACTGTACAAGATGTATTTTCTGCAGCAAACTTACTTGCATATCCACATGCAGTGTCTGCTTGTGCCCGTTTCATGGAACAATTCCTTGATATTACGAATTGTCTAGGTGTTCAAGCTCTTGCAGAGACTCACGGACTCCATCATCTGGCCGATACCGCCAGAAAACTCGCTGTTGGAGATTTCACTAGGTTTGAATGATTAACTTGCATTTTTGCGTTACCCACATGCATTCATACTTATCTACTTTCTCTTTTACATTTAGGCTGTATATAGCTATATATATCAATAGCCTCCCTGATCTTCCGCTTCTCTGTGCCTACCGTATGGGGCCCTTATTTCTGTTGCCTTCAAATTGATCTCATGTCCAGTCTGCGATATGTTCCGCTAATTCTGATCTTTCGGTACCCATTTTTCTTCAGAGTTTTTGATGTTTCCTTATTCGCATGCTAATTTTTCTGGCTGTTTCTATTGGCAGGCGATGCATCATATGCAGTAAACTTCTGAACAATCCAATTTGTCTACTCTTTCCTCCATGGCCACGCAAATATAACATTTTCTCAATTTCGGCCAAAGTTTTTGAGTTATTTCACAGGAAGATAGGCATATCCACTTTTGTGAATCCTTCTCCGTCCTTACTGTCTTTCGTAGTCCCTATTCTGTCACCGGCTTTTCACGGTCCGTATTTTTCTTTGTATTACTTCGTTTGGGTAGCTGTTGCCGAGGAATATGTAAGTCAAATTTTCCAATTCTTCGTCCCATAGTTTGACATCCGTTAAACGCTAGCTTCGTATGATAATTCTCCTCAGTATTCCTATCTTTAGCCTGTGATTGTGATGAGACTGGAAATTGAGAATTATCCCAGCATAAGACTTGTTCCTAACTATTTCTTCTTGAGCGTCTCATTAGAGCGAATCACTTTAACATTCAGGAAAGTTAACCGTTCACCTTATTCTACTTCCATCATGAATTTAATTTTTTCATCAATCTGCTTTATAAAAGTGGGTTGACCTCGTAAATGCAACTTGGTCTTGTTGTCAGGGCGATTTAGTAGAACGCATCTAGTCCGAAGTCGTCTACCATAGTAGTTCTCATGACTCCCAGCATCAGACAGTGGACTTGGTACATTCTCAAACGTTTCGCCGGCATCATAGTGAGTTTTGCCATTCGTTGCACCAAGCTACGAACTTGTCAAAGAGATAAGTGAAGTCAATCCCTCGACAAACGTTCTGCCGAAAATGGTTACACTATCACTCCTCTTTCTGTCCTGGCCTATCTATCTACCCTTTACCCTCTTATCCCACTGCCGCCCTATCACAAATTCTCACTTGTTTGCATTCCACTCGTCAAAATGTGTACCCTTTTGTGGTAAATCTAGTGTGTCTTCATCACACTTGCTATTTACCCTTTCTTTCGATCAGCTTATCCGACTCAGGCCTCCACTCCGGATCCCCTTATTGTCCTTAGCGATAACTCCTTGATCCAGGATAATAACAAGATATATAATGTGGAGGCTGGAGCTAGTTGACTAAAAATAGACGTGCTTCATGGATCACGTCTATGATCAAACAGGTATATTGTTAGTCAAATAGCTCTTGTCTAC